CTTGAATCGATCAACCGTGAATATATTCAGTTATCCACGACTTTGAACTTTGTCTATGACTGTAATCCAAAACGGCAGTCTTTACACAAACCGGTCACGATATAAACTCGTCTTCGGCGTGTGTGCAGACTTAAGATATATCAATAGACTATTTAAATTCAAAAATAAACTATACATGTACTTCTGGGGCGAAAAAAATGGCAGTAAATTTAAATAAACTCTGAAACGGTTTTGATAATTCGGTTAATATAGACCTTTTTGTAAGTATATAAAACACCGGTGCAATTTGGCTTGTATTTTGTAGGCTTTGTATGGATTATCAAATAAGTGACAATTCTTTCAATAAGTGACAATTCAATTCAAGGAGAATTCAATTCAGTGACAATTCAATAAGTGACAATTTATATCAGCATATTGTTATTTTGAAACTGTAATAATACTAATCATAAAAAATACTGTATGAGCCTGTAATATATTATATATAAATCAGTTGGAAAAATAGTTTTAGTCATGCGCAATATCTTTGTAAGTGCGTAACTACGTCACTTCCGTCACCAGTTGTTGCGGTGCACATTGAACGAAAGATTTTCGGCGTTTCATCCCTTTCTTATTTTATGTACGGGTTACACCCTCGGCATCCTTTCGTAAGATGTTCGGAAATTGTCGTTGCAATGCAATATGTTTGGATTACATGAAGTAGAAGGCATGATATTATCGAAAAAATAAAAATCAGCTAATTTTGACCTTTTATGACTATGTCTACGGATTGTTGTGATATAAATATGGGATATTGGTTGATGACAAGGTATTTATAAAACACAATCGTACTTTTCTGCCCCCTGTGGAGAAAGGATCAATATTAAAGAACTGTCTGTATTAAAGTGATGCTATTAAAAATACCAACTTCTAACGGGAATTGAAAATTATCCTTTGCACTTCAAGAGTAGCTAAGTCGGTAAAAACAAGGAAGCCAATTAACTGTTTGTTACTTTAATATTTTGATTGTCATGTTTTCAACAATAAACAGAGATGGGCATTTAATATTCTCAACAATAACAATTCTAGGTTTGATTTCTATTTTTCGGACAAATATTTATTACTTTGAGACTGATTTCTGCCGAGGATTTCTGTTCGTTATTAGTAGCTATCGGTCAGAAAGGCACGTTTTACGCAATAATGATTGCAGCAATATTTTCACACACCCCGGTATTTTTTTTCCGAATTTTTAACAAATTAAGAATTTTTAGTGTGCATTATTTTATTGATATTTCCTTTTTATTGATTATTGCAGTCTAGTTTGGGAAAATTGCAGCAATTACTTGCACGACAAGATGCAAAAAAAATGCAAAATAGAGCGGCAAGAATAATTACTGGCAAATCATATGAAATACGAACAAGTGAATTGCTAAAAGAGCTTAATTGGCAAACACTTGAGGAAAGAAGGGAGAGCGGGAGATTCACATTCATGTTTAATGTTAAAAATCAGGAAGGACCGGCAAATATGGCTAATTTGTTTAGATTCTCTAATAATGAAAAATATGACCTTAGAAATAACGGAATTAATTTTCAAGTGGATAAACCTAAGACTAATTTCCTCAAAAAAAGTATTAGCTACTCAGGGGCAAAATGCTGGAATAATTTGCCAAATGAGATTAAGGCAAAAGAAATGACGATGGGACACAATATTTTGTATATATTCTCTTAGACTTTAACTGTGTGATAATTTATATTATATTATATTTTAGATGTAATTTTTATTAAACTTTGTAAATATTAGTTTAAACGGCCTCTTGAAAAACGGATCATAGGTGTTCTGAAGAGCTACCGTTTTAAAATATTTGTAAATAATAATAATAAATTGATATTTCCTTTCGTGTTCATTAATACTGAAAAATTTGTATTTTCCGATGTATTTTTGTACGACACGACTTTGTTTATCTGATTGTCTCGCTTTATGAAACATATAAACCTTTATATTTTTCGCTGTGTAATATAAATAAAGTCTGTATCGTCTATGAAGAACAAATTTTGCACTCGCTCGTTCGTTTAATTTGCGAAAACAGATTATAACGCGTGCGTAAATACCACACGTAAGTATTTCCCATGAAAAAATCTTTATATACTATTCGGTTATCCGGTTATCCGCTACCCGGGTTTTCTACCATGCCGTTTATTACCGAAATCAGTAGAGTGTCTTTTCGGGAAGTTGAAAAGACAGTCGAAAGCCAGTAGAAACGTTCATGTTTTATGACGTCACGGTGAAGGAATGCAGCGTGGAACTTGTAAGTTATTTTACTTATTAGTAAACTTTATTTAGTTTGACAAATTGCCCAAGGCCCGCCAAACACAAAACAAGCTTTTGACAAAGGGAGAAGTTCTAGGGTGAGGCGGTAAAACCGATGTTTTTTGAAAACCGAATTACTCGATGTTACTTTTGGAGAAAGACCGGAAAACCGAAAAAACCGGAGGAAAACCGAAATCGAACCATACTTATCGGGTCTGTTGCAAATGAATCAACTTTGGCATTTACACACGAAAACTAAAGAGATTTTGTTTAAAATTTGATAACATCTTCAAAATACCTTACGTTTAATATCATTCTACAATTTCGCGCGAGGTTGAGGTCTTGAACGGATAAGCGGATCAAACGATGGTGAATTTTGATTCGCTGGTAATAAAGGCGGACGTCTGCGAAGACAGGTTTAAGATATTCATATAGCGTGTTGTGTCTTTTTTAAACCGTAGTTTCGATTTTCGAACATATTTTTAAAAAAAAAACCCGGTTCACTCGGTTTTTTCGGGGTTTTTTGGTCGGTTTTCGGTTTTTTGTAGAAACCGCCTCACACTAGGGAGAATCTTTATTCGTGGGAAGGCACTTAAGTAAAGTTTACTAATAAGTAAAATAACTTACAAGTTCCTATACAATAACTTACAAGTTCCACGCTGCATTCCTTCACCGTGACGTCATAAAACATGAACGTTTCTACTGGCTTTCGACTGTCTTTTCAACTTCCGGAAAAGACACTCTACTGATTTCGGTAATATTAGATAAATTTAGCATAGCAGTAGCCTCGTGGGGATGCTTTCAGCGACAGCTGCAAATGCAAATGAAAATTTAGAATATGCAAAATTTGGTTGTTGGTGACATAATAAATAGATGAATTGCATCAGTTTCACAAGGCACGTTTCTGATGTGTTAGGCTTGTTTCAAACGTCACGCTACTCGTGTGCCGAGCGTATTAAAAGCAATAAATAATGGGATGAAATGCCTTTGGTAACTGTTTATTTCGTAGTGTAAGCCATCAAGCTTTTCTAGGTTGTCGGCGAC